TAATGCAGGTGTGTACTTCGAGGATGTGTTCCAAAGAAACTGCTTGTGTATGCATCAAAATTTGCTCATGAATTTGATGAGAGTAATGGTTTTGGATGGAAATATGACACTGAACCGAAGCATGATTGGAGCACCTTGATGGCTAACAAAAATGCTGAGTTGCGGCGTCTTACTGGTATTTACAAGAATATTCTGAATAATGCTGGAGTCACATTAATTGAAGGTCGTGGAAAGGTAGAATGCTGCATCTCTTAACTTGTTATGATTTGGATTTTATATATTGAATATGTAAATGCATTTATATGAAATTGCTACAGGTTGTTGATCCACACACCATTGATGTGGATGGGAAACTTTATTCGGCAAGAAATATACTGATTTCAGTTGGAGGCCGTCCCTTCATTCCTGATATTCCTGGAAGTGAATACGCGATAGATTCTGATGCTGCCCTTGACTTGCCCTCAAAGCCTGAGAAAATAGCAATAGTCGGTGGTGGGTACATAGCCGTTGAATTTGCTGGCATTTTCAATGGCTTGACAACTGAGGTCCATGTATTTATACGCCAGAAAAAAGTTTTAAGAGGTTTTGATGAAGAGGTAAGGAAAAGCAGTAACTTGTAGTGAATTTTACCTCTTTACCAAACATTTAATGGTAGTTTGGTGAAGACATGCTGATAAGATTTGTTTTTCATGGTGAAAATGTGTGTTTTGCTTGTAGATCAGAGATTTTGTTGCAGAACAAATGTCTCTTAGAGGAATCCAGTTTCATACAGAGGAGTCACCTCAGGCTATCCTTAATTCAGCTGATGGTTCCCTCTCTCTGAAGACAAACAAAGGAACTGTAGATGGCTTTTCACATATAATGTTTGCAACTGGTCGAAGACCTAATACTAAGGTTTGGAATGTCTTTTTTTGTAATGTTTTCTCTGATTTACAGACTACCTAGATTACTAGTTTATGTGTCATGTCAAAGCCGGGTTTTTACTCCTACAAAATGTAAAGTTGGATTAATAAATAGCAAACAAAGAGTGTGTGTGTGTGTGTGTGAGGAAAAGATAACAAAAAGGATGTGCAACTTTCTCTTATTCCATTGCAAGGACCATCTTTCTTTAACCTGATTCTGCTCCTTTTTTGAGTTAAATATCCTTTATATGAGATAATTCATGTTGTTTTCTCTTTAAGGGTAATGTTTATTTTACTTTTAAAATTTCTAAATCTACTTGGACTTTGTCAATTATAAATTGGATGTAATATGGAATTTTATTGCATTTCAGAACTTAGGTTTGGAGACAGTAGGGGTTAAAATGACCAAGAATGGAGCAATAGAGGTATTATCCTTATTTTCTTAGAGTTTGATTTGCCTCATTTTGTTGGTTATTTTTAACTTCACTTGTATGTGTTGTTGAGTTTATTCTGTTCTTTTAGGTTGATGAATATTCACGCACTTCAGTTCCTTCCATTTGGGCTGTTGGTGATGTCACAGATAGAATAAATTTGACTCCTGTTGCTTTGATGGAGGGAGGAGCATTGGCCAAAACATTGTTTAATAATGAGCCAACAAAACCTGACTATAGGTAATCTACAATTCCTGAAATTAACTAGTTCAAAAATCTAAGATACTAGGGAATGCCACTTTCCTATGTCATTTTTACATTCCTCTATTAATTAATTAAATAAGGTCGATGCATTGTTAGAACTTAGAAACTGAATTGTCTTTCTCATGACCCTCTATATTCAAATAAAAGATGCATGTCAACAAAATTTCATTCCCATTTATTTTTGTCATTTAGGGTTCTATGATATATTGACTTGCTTGATAGCATGTGTGTTGTATTACTTGGTTAATATGTATTAGTTATTAACTTTCATTTTCCTTGTATGCAAAAATGCTTAATTTAATGCTTCATATCTTTCTGATCTTTTTTCCATCTGGATCCTATTCTGGAGCAGGGCTGTTCCATCAGCTGTGTTCTCACAGCCACCAATTGGACAAGTTGGTCTTACTGAAGAACAGGTGATAAATAGTTTTGCATTGAAGGAACAGCTGGTAGTATTTTCTTGTGCTTAACTGTTTGAGAATTTTTACAGGCAACACAAAAATATGGTGATGTTGATGTTTACACAGCAAATTTCAGGCCTCTGAAGGCTACTCTCTCTGGGCTTCCGGATCGTGTATTCATGAAACTTATAGTCTGTGCGAATACAGACAAAGTTATTGGGTTGCACATGTGTGGAGAAGATGCAGCAGAAATTGTTCAGGTTTCACACGGTGCTCTAATTGAAATAATTCTTTTTTTAATCTAGCACTTCTTTTGATTGAATAATTGTTGAATTCCTAGGGATTTGCCATTGCTGTGAAAGCTGGCTTGACAAAGGCAGACTTTGATGCCACAGTGGGTATTCATCCAACCTCAGCTGAGGAATTTGTCACAATGAGGACTCCTACCCGGAAAATCCGTTCAAGTGCTTCATCTGAGGTTTGCCAAAGACTAGGAACCTTTTGCGTTGAAACTCATATTACAGAACAATTAACTCAGATTTGGTTATGTCTAACCCATTGTAGCTGAAATTCATTGACCTCTAAGAAGGCTGACATATCTTTGGCATTTCTTTTAGAATACAAATTGAGAAATTATTTTAAAATAATGCCTAAAAAGTTCTAGTAGCCGTAGGCTGGCTAAAGTGTGCCTTTAAACAATGGATTTACGGAAAGCTGCAGGCACTTTTTGTGACATGGAGTACTCAGTTTTCAAGGCAAACTTGATAATCAAGTTGTCAATTTGTTTTATCTCTGAACTTCTTATTGCTTATTGGCATTCCATTGCTCAGGTTACTGATACCATTTTTGTTTTCTTGCAATTAGCTATATTTTTCCTATGCGTATTTTCATTCACTTAAATTTGGTGCAGGGGATGAAGGATCATGGGCATAAAGCTACAGCTGGAGTTTAGCAAGAGCAATCAATTGGCAGCATAAAACTAGAGGCCCTTTTAAGGTGCAGGCAGTTCCCTATGTTCTCAAGAAGTTGTTTGTCTGTTTGAAGTTCATATTTTCTGTTTTCTTTACATGGAGTAGATATAGAATTATTGATGAATATCATAATTATGACACAAACCTATATATTTTCTGTGCTCTTGCTGGTTGTATGTAATTTATGTCTGATGATGTGATGTGAAACAAAAACCTAGACTGGTAATAAGCTGATAATGCAATTATTCTTTGCTTGGCATGCTTATCTGTAAGTAGCTTGGCCCCATGCATACACCCTTGGATTTGACTTTCTTTAAAAAACACCATTGATAAAATGATGTTTAAATTGTTATTGTTTCCAAACTAAATAATAGAAATGGTAATAGCTCTCTTGTTCCTCCTTGTTTCTAGTACTTTGGCTGCATTCCAATGAGCTTTTATCTAAACCTGGGTCTTATATGCCGTACACCTAAATAATATGAGAATGGTTGGTTGACTAAAATGGTGGTTATCACGAACTTTTTGGCAGGTTGGAGTACAGACCGAAATCCATATCTGTGAATAGTTGACAGAAATTTCGGGTGTTGAATCATATTCATAACCCAGGAAGCAAAGTCAAAGGTGTTCTATTTGCGCCATAAACAAGTTTACAGCTATGGGAGGTGATTGTGCTGCTGTAACTTAGTACCACAGTTTTCCCTTGTCAAAGAGGAGATTCTATTCAAGGAGCAAGGACATTGAAATGATCCTGTCTTTAACACTGATTGATACTTTTTTTTTTTTTTTCCTTCGCAATTCTCCTTTTTCCTAGTCTTGTATACTGGAAGTCTGGAAGTGGAAGGGAATATGGCTTCAAGTAATTAAGTATTGCATTTGCGTAAAAGAGTTGGTTTGGCAAAGTCACTTTCATGTGGAAACTTTGAGGACCTTTTCTTTTTGATTCTTCATAACACTTGCTAAACAACAACTGCTAATTAGCAGGTTCAGCAAAAGCTGGCGAAACCAGTTTGTTAGAATTCTTCATATTTTGTAACTTGGATTCAGTTTAATAAAATTTCACAGTTGAATTACTTGGATTTCATAGGCATTTTCAATTTAATTATAATAAATTAACATTTTTAATAGTGCATTGGTGTGTGGAATACGTTGTGTAAGCAAACCCCAAACTGACTGAATTTACTGGTAGTAGTTATGGGAGCTCACTTCACTTGTCTTCTAACTGGACCATTCGAGCTTTAAAACTAACAATTAGTAGTTTTATTTAATTAAATGAATAAAAGTGTTTGCATTATTAATAACTGTAGACAGCTATTTTCAAACTCACTGTACAAAGGCGACTAAAACCACAGCCATAAATGAGCATACTTCAAATCATAAATCCAAAATTGCAGCTCTGGGCGAGCAATCTTTGAATCAGAAAATTGGAAAACAGAAGGCATAGTTTCTGCTGATGAAACCTCATCAAGACGATACAAAAAAGAGAGTGGGCAAAGGACAACACAGGCTGAAATTGATTTTTGAACAAGTACATAACTCTTCAGATTAAAGCAACTGAAAATTTCAACTTTATGCATTATGATAATGATGCAACTTATATAGAAGCACTTTTCCAGCAGCACTTCCAACAGCCATGAAGCCACCACCAGGACTGAAGTCCAGACAACGAGGATAATGCAAGCTTGTATTTGGAGGAGGCCAGTTGGAGAAGACGGTAAGTGATGGAACATGTACCAACTTCAAGCTGTTTTTCTTCATTGTCGAACAGATAGCCAGTATCTGAGCATCGTTGTTAAATTTCATAAAATCAACCTTGGTGGTTAGATTCTCAATAGTCTTGATTGGTTTTCTTTTTCCACCTAGAAACTCATCTCTTCTGTAAATATTCACTATCCCGCTGTCTGACCCAGCTGCAAACATTCTTCCATTTGGTGATGTGCAAAGAGCTGTACCATTTATGCAGCCCTCATCAACACCCTTATGGATGCAGGTTCTTGTTCTCAGATCCCATTGGTAGATCTGCCCATCACCTCCAGAGCTTAATAACTCCTTCCCATCATGAGAAAATGCCAAAGAACGGGCAGTTCCATTCATCTTTAGTGTTCCAATCAGTTCTTTTGTTTTGGATGAAACCAACAAGATATAACCTTCATTGCCCACAAAAGCAATCAAACTGGAATCAGGGGATACCTCAAACTCTTCCAAGCTTCTCTCCTCCCTACCCACTAATGGCCCAATCTTATCAACTGTTGCTTTTACTAAATCAAAGCTGTAAAAGAACTTTCTTCTTCCAGCTATAATGACCTGAGAACCGTCAGGTAAGAAGGAAGCCTTTCGAACAGGACAATCATCAAGGAAGATACTCTGTATCTTGGTATTCCTTTTGCCATCAATCTGAAAGAATCTGACTCTTCGATCCAATCCGGCAGTGAGTAGCAATTGAGCATTCCTGTGGAACTGAACTGAATTTATTGGTCCATTGGAAGGATCCTCAATGTTTGCATCCACTAGTTTTGAGAATTCAAGCAGCCCGGGCAACAATTTGGCACTGCTTTTCACCACAAGATCTTCATCTGTTCGCAGGATATCATCAACAGCCTCAATATTCTCATATCCACGAGCTACTGTTACCCCACTTTCCTCATCTGATGATTCATCATCATAAGTCCTTAACTGTGAATCACGCCTTGCCCAATCTGTTCCTGGATTCAACTTAGCATGCTGAGCCCGCAATCTCGAAACATACTCTGACCCAGAAATCACACTATCATCCTCTTCCTTTCTCAGCTTCCTTAACCTGTTAACCTTAGCTATGTTTACACTTAGCTTTTCCTCCTCTTCATCAACCCAAACAGCCTTTTTCTGGCTTTTCACCTCTCCATCATTACTTGCCTCCAACAATTCAGCATCCTCCTCATGAGCTGAAAGCAAATTATTTGCAGAACGGTCCACAAAGAACAGAGCAGAACCATCTTCATCCAAATCCTGGCCCTTTTCCTCACTTTCTTCCTTCCCAAACTCAAGTGGGGAATACAAAGACCCAAAAAAAAAGTTCTCAAGCTTCTTCATCTCTCTTTCTTGTTCAATCTCCAATCTCTTTTCCATCTCCTTCTTCCTCTTCTTCGACTTGGAGATAACCAAATCAGATTCCCCTTCATTCTCAACGTCTCGGCCACCTTCCAGAACCAAAGGCTCATCACCATCATCATCCCTTTTGGACCTCACCCCGTTTCTAGAATCCGCATTTTGGGATATCAAACTCATTTTTCAGCTTCTGTAAAACCAAATAATTCATAAGAAAAAAAAAAACGCAAAAATTACCATGAATTTGCAGAACTTGGCTTACTCATTATAATTTATACCCAAAAAATATATATATATATTTACAGTAGTAATTGCAATGAAACATTACAAAAAAAAAAAAACTGATTCTAAACAAAAATTGATACTTTACATAATCAGTGTAGGAATCTTAGACACAATATTGAAATTTAACTATTTTAAGGTTTATACTGTACAGAACAGAAAAATAACAATTTCGAAGAGACACTTTGTACCCTGAATTTGCAGAAGAAAAACGACGAAGAAGATGAAGAAGAGGAACTTACATAACTGCAGGCGACGGCTGAGAAGTGTCTCTGCGTTTCACGGAGGCATTAGCCCTAAGAAAGGTGCCAAGGTAGGGGGGGATGCTTGATTCAGTTGGGCTAATTTAATGAGCTATAATTTTTTTGGGCTGGTTTCTTTGGGCCTATTTTTTCTTGGTCTCTTATTAGTATTTGTTTAATTATTCTGTTTCAGAAGTAGCCTGTGATGGAGGGAGGGCGGCCCAACATTTAGAGGCTCTTCCCTATCAATAGTTAGTTTGTGCACTTGGACTGTACATTCAAAAAGTTTGATGGCTTATTATGGGTTAAGATGCCCTCGAAGGATTTTGCTAAATTAGTTAAATATTGGAAATTATAATTTAATTATCTTCAGATTAATTTTGAATCTTGAGTTGAATGATTTTTTTTTTTATATAATTAATCTTTAGATCTATGGGAAAAAAAAAGTTATGGTATTAAGAATACATTCGGTATAATAATTTGACAGTAATTATTAGTACTCTTCTCTAATATAACAAATAAAAATATTTAAATTATTAATATAAACAATTATTAATAATTAAATTAAACAAAATTATTAACTACTAATTTCATATTAGTATATTACTATAGGAAACAGCTATGTGATATCAGATATGCTTCACTCTCTTTATCTTTTTTTGGCACATTGAATAATAAGGTATATAAACAATAAATATATGTATTTTTTATATTAAATTTTTTAATATTTAAAAATCATATTTATTTTGATTAATTTACAGTCAATCTCTCTCAATGCATGTTTTTCTATTTATAAAACTCAAATTTAAAATTTTATTTTTAAAAAAAATTGATTTCTTTCCACTTAAATTATTTATACAAAAACTATATGTATGTAAGCTAAGAGTTCAAGTATTGAATAAACATCTACACAATTCAATTTCCGCTGTTACTCAATATGCAATGAAAAAAAAAATTGAAGTCAGTGGACAAATGTTTCTTAGATTAGATGCTGTGTTTTTGCTAATTTCTTGATGTAACAGGTTTGACAATAAAGGACTAATCTACTAATTAATAAAAATAGTATTTTAATATCAAATATTTTCAGCCAAAAAATAAGTAAAAAATCTTTAAATTTCTAATATTTCTCTGCCATTTTCTAAAAAAAAAAAAAACCTTAGATCATTATATTTGTATTGTCTAAAATTAGTCTAAAATATTATTTTTAGTTACTAATATTTATTTTTTTAAGCCAAATATTAAAATTTCACTTCTAAGTCAAACTTTTTATTAAGTCAAATCCATTTATTTTATTTTATTATTTGCAATATAAAGTTTTGATATGTTTGTAAATTTATTACATTTTTTAGATGTGTTTATTATATATTTTTTCTCACAAGTACAACTAAATAATTATTTATTAATCACAAAAAATTTCGAAGGATAGTATAATTCATATTGAACATGACCAAGTTTGATTTTGAGCACAAATTTATAGCTTTATAATTATGTGTACCCTTTGGTCCTTTTTAGATACCTAATTTCATCAACTTTTTGTTAATTAATTTAATGATTTTATATAAACAAGTTAATGACAATTTAATTTTTTTTTTATCTAAGTGAAAATATTCTATAGGAATTATGTTGGGAAGAAAAAAGGTTTTAATTATCATCTATTTGCTAAATAAAACCACTAGATTAAATTTTATATAAAAGTTAAACTAACACAAGTAAATTAGTTCAAAAAAATAATACTTTAAACGCAAATTTAATTTCGGTGCCGACAAATTGGTCCCCCCTCATCTCAAATCCAACCTCTACCACTACATGTCAGCGCCATCCTGGGTATCATCAACTGTCCCAAGAGAATTACTTGATGTAACTCGGTGGAAGTGAAGAGCATTG